CACCGGCACAATTTTTGTTATGATTGACAGTTTCAATATTAAAAACACAGATGGCGTTAGTAGTTTCTGCTTTTCTAATAGATATCTGCGAAATTAATTCACAAATCATTTATAAATATTTTATTGGCAATTAATTTATGTTTAATACTGTTTTGTACAATCTAGAAACTCTTTGAATTTCTAATTAAAAATATTAATTTTGTTATTTTTGGTCACTCTGTCAGTCACTCTCACTTGACTTTGTTTGGGGTCGAAAATATATATCAAGTCAGTTACAGATATTCACAAATTTTTCTCATTTATCTTCTTCTATTTCCAACAATTTAACATCGTTTAACAAGAGAAGTTTGTGATGCTCTTTATGAATAGTTGAAAGGGATTTTTTCACAGTATTTGCTGATGCTCGTCACTTCGAGTACAATTTTTGTCACAAAATAAAGAGTTTGCAATAGTTTTGGGTGGTCAACTGTCTCAACATTGCAGAATGTTTGTGTTAAAATTATTCCAAACTTCCGAATCGGGTTTCATCGAGAGTCGTTGATGGATTCGACAGGCGACATTTTCCATTTAACATTGAACACATTAAAAAATCACAGCATGATGATTCGTTTGCAGAACTTTTTCTACTACTACTTCTGGTTTCAACTTACACTCACCAATTTTCCTCTCATTTTGTGTGGTCTCATCAAATTTCCATTCACGAAGATTCAAAATAAAAACATTTAAAAGCAAATAAAAATATTTTCTAAACTATCATTGATAGAAAACTCTTTAAAAACAATTTCAAAGCTACTTGAAATTTTATTACGCAATGAAAAGATGAAATGAAAAGAAATTTCAAAACAACGAGTAGATAAGTTTTTGTTTATTCTAAAATCTGGAAAATATTTTCTTAAATTTTCATCAACGCGTTGCAACGAAAAAAAAACTTTCCTTTGTTTAATCTTTTCTGTGACATGACAAAAATTGACGCAATTTTCTCATCAATCGTCTGGAAATTTTTAAATTTTTATGTATACATTTTTCAAAAATGTCTGGAGACTTAAAACAAACGAATATGGGTCGCAAAATAAATGTGAGAGGAAGAAGAAACAGATAAAGTGACGATAAGAATTTATCAGACTTGTTTAATTTCACCCAAAATCTGAAAGAAAAAAAATAGTAAAGAGCCGACAACATTTTACAATCGGAAGTTATCAATGAACACTCAGAAAAAAATGGAAAGAATAAAACAATTTTTCATTTGCGATAATTGCTGCCGGCGACCTTCGGGATGAGTAAAGTGTTTGGGAATATTACAAGCAGGTATTTGAATTTTCTTACTCATCATGGAACGTCGTCACAGTAGAAAGAAAGGTAGAGAGATGAATGTGAATCTCATTCCGAAAGATACAATTGTTCTCACCGTACCTCATCAAATGTGTTATTAACTTGAAAGTGGGTAAGTTTTAAGGTAAAGAAAGATCTCAAAATGATTGGAAAGTGGGCGTAGAAAGAGAAAAATGTTAAAACAAATATTTGATGAATGAAATGAAATGATGCTGGGTATAAGTTGCATTTCAGTTCATGATTGATTTTGTTACATAAAATTCCACCCACGATAATTTAATTGTTCAAACTTTGAAAAGATCAAGAAACGAAATAAAAAAATTGCAAATCGCGGTCTCTTTTGTCACGTAAAAAAGAGTTAACTAAGAGAGCAAGATATCATTTAATGGGTGGTCAAACAGTTAAAGTAAATTTAAGACGACAAAACAACATGATAATATGCACAAGAGTAACAGAAACTCGGCGACTTGAGAAAGAAACAACAAAAAGCATTAAAGATCGGAATGAAAATATCCATTTACAACTGAACGAGCATGAAAAGTTAAGGAAGGCGAGCGCCGTGCGAAAGATAAAAGCGCAAGCAATGAAATTTGCATAAAATCAGCGAATTTTTGTGCCGCTTCAACGATGAATGTTTATGAACATTAAAAATTTAACAAGAAGCTGTCATAAAATTCTCAACTTATCGAAGTTAAATATAGCTCACGTTCCTGATGATTGAATTCAATAGAATCGCTGCAGCAGTATCACAGCTTATCGAATCATGAATCGCATGTAAATTAAAAGTTGCTTTTATTTCACATTAATTGCACGTTGCACGATTAAATTTTTAATTTCACGCATTGTTCCAATTAAAGTTAAACACTTTTAAAGCAATTGTGGGCATGATTCAGTAGCAGAATGAAACGAGTAAATTTAAAAGTTCTTGATAAGAAAAACTCAACAATCAATTAAACTATTTATTGAAATTCCAGCGAAAAAAAAACTTGTTGAGATCGAAAGCAATAAAAAGTTGTTTTAATCGACGTGCTTGATAAGAAATTTTTCTCAAACTTCATGTGGGAGTCAAATCGATTTGAAAATGAATTTAATTTTCTTATGTCAACTGTAATGACATTTTGAAAGAAACTAATTGCCCTTCACGCTTCATTACGATTTTCTTTCCTTCTCAAGAATTGTTGAGTCATAAATGCAAATTGATTTTTAATTGATTCTTTGGAATGTTATCATTGTTGAACCCGGAATTTGCAAGTGTTATCTACAACAACATAAGCATAAACTATGAATCATCAAGGATCAAACATTCTTACAAAAAAGATAAAAGAAACATGTCGTCGTCTACCTTTTTACATTTCATTATTCAACACATAAAAAAGTATTTAACAAGTCAACCGTTAAAGCTCAAAATTTCTCCCATGCTTGGTGTTGAATAAAGCAGACACTAAAGGACGACACTCACTAATCTAATATTGGTCTCGACTGGGATCAGAAGAGGGATTAAGCTTTGTCGCTTTATTTTCCTCTTGAGAATGATTTTAATGCCGCCAGAACAAATAGAGGTGCTCAAAGTAATTGCATAGTTATTCCTTTGTCGGCATCGCTTTGCCTGTTGCTGATCATTTGAGTTGACAAATTTTTAATTAAGTGCAGCAGCTACTTATGTAGATGTTCTTGTTTACTTTCAATGCATTATGTGGAAAGAAAAGAAAATTCTTCCATAGTCGACAACAAATTATCACAAAAGCATTAAATGTTATTAGAAGATATGGAGAGCATGAGAAGAACAAGAAGATCCGCTTGAAGAGGACACTCAAGATGCAAATAATGAGAAAAGTAAACAATTTTCTTCTTAAAGAGATGACAATTTCTTAAGACGATCGTTTGCTCTTCACTTCTTTGTGGTGTTTTGATCTTCAAGAAGCTTTTCGTTTTGACAATTAAAGTAATCTCAATTGTCACCTGGAATCTCATCACATTCATATCTTCAATCTTTTGTTCGATTTGTTCTTTGCTAAGCTAATAAACGGTGAACGTCTGTCAAGTTAAAATGTTGAGAATGAAAGAAAAACATACAACGATGCTTGTTAATTAATCGAATATAAATATTCTTGCAAGCAACAACAACAAAACAGCATAAAAATCTGAGATAAATAAACTTGTTTTATTTTTTGAAATTTTTCACTGACACGCTGGTTTCCTAAGAAGCAGAAAAGAAATCTTTGAGTTGCTTTTATGTTCGCAATTAATTAAAGATTTTTTTTCTTTGGTTTCGTGGGTCCATATTTCCAGTGGATTTGCCTTCTCGCTCGGTTACCGTTGAAATCGATCGATTTTCAGAAAAATCAACCTTATCAAAGAAATCAAATCTTGATCGTTTCGAATATCACTTGGCATGGCTTCGACAGGGACTTTAATCGCAACTTGCGTAATCAGCCAAAGAAAACATCATGTTATTGATTCGCTTTTGCGTGTCCTTTTCTTGTTTTCTTGTTTCATTAATGACAGTAGAGAAATAGGATCGAGGTCGATCGAGGATAAATCAGATAAAAGTTTTACGCAAGATCAGATATGAAGACAAAATAAAAGGAAGCAAAGTAACCGAAAGGAGATAAATTTCAAAGACATAAACTCTTTTATTTTTCATCTGATCTAATTCTTCTCTCGATTTCATTGCCCATTCTGCAAAAGAAACCGAATCTAAGAATGTTTATGGGCACTTAAAACAATTCCCCATGCAAGTAATGAGTTAAGATTAATTAAATTTTGAATGGTGAACCGCATGATCATTCGGTGGCGCCGAGAACCGAAATTTAAAACTAATTTCTTCAAAAATTCATCAAATATTTTATTGGCTTCTCCCGAGAATAATTTATGTGGGTAAACGAAGGTGGGATCAAATGAAAAACACGAGTTAAACAAGATGGTATTAGATGATTGATTTAGTTGTAACATTTTCTAATCATATCATAAAATCAATCACGAATAATTAGATTACATTTCAAATGGCTTCGTTTGCGGTCGCCGCTTATGTTGTTGATTGAATTTGAATAGCACGATATCGCTTCAAATGAACAGAAGTTTCTTTCTTTCTTCCATTTGACGAGAATAATTGTAACACAATGAAGTTTAGGAACTTGAAGCAATGTTTCATGCGTGTTTGCCTTCTTTCAAGAACTTTCCTACTCTCTTTTCATTCTTTCTCGTCACCGCAAAAGAGATTTTCTAGTGGCATAAGAAGCTACTTGAGTTGTCGGCAAAATCTTTTTGATATCTTTAAAAAATGTTTGTGTCATAAGATTCAAAGCTATAAATAAAAGAATAACGATTTGAATGCACTCAATGGAGACGTTTTTTCGCCTGAGAAAATTTCCCAGGATCTCTTTTCAAAGACAACATAACGTTTTATCGATAGAAGGTGGTAGCAGATTGTTATCGATGAGATATTCATTTGATGTTTCTTTGATTCCCATCCGAGTTCAATCAAGCAAATATTAAAACAGCATGACCAAAAGTCACCCCAAATATTTTGACGACCCTTAAAAAGAATCAAAAAAAAATATTTCTTGACTAAAAATCTGTTTTCTGAAACTCGATATGTGGCGCCCATGAAAACATTTCTTTGCATTTTATTTTTATGAAGCGAGCATAATATTCTTCAAATTGGCCGCGTCACGCCATGTCGACTATTAGCTGTCTTAAATATTTGTCACACATAAAAAAGGGTCGACTGATGTTAGAAATTGGACAAGAACGATGGTACTTGAGATGAACATTTTTGACAATATCCAACCTTAATGTTTGCTGATTTGATAAAGATGTGCCTTAAATTACTTCCTCAACTTTTAATTTAAAATTTTATTCTCCCGTCACTCACAAAAATTGCATTCGTTGTTCCCACTAAAAAATTCAAGTAGCGCATCTCCGGGCGCCATAAAAAAGAATTCAGTGAAATTGATATCGCATTATGCTGTGGTTGACGAGAAGAATTATTTTGCTTTTCAAAGAAAATTCATTCTCGCGTTGCCGTCGTCGAAAATGAAGTCTTTAAATGTTTCCCGAGATATCATCGTGATTTTAAATTGATGTTGTTGTAGCTGTTTCATATTAAAAGTCGACTTTACCGACAAATATCTAGTTAATGCGCGTTCGTCTGATTTATGATTGCTTTTTAAATGAGTTATGAATTTTCATGAAATTCTTAATGCCATTTCTCAACTTCTTCTTCCTTTCTCCACATATTCATTAATTTTTGTGTTGTGGCGTTCGACTACAACTTCTGTTAATGATTTAACATGTTTGGACTATTTAGGGACTTTGTTTATGTCGACTGTTGTTTCTGATTAGATTAATTATTTTGCAATTATTTTCATATTTTGAAATGTCATTTTTAAACTTTTACTCGTGCTGTGTCAAAATTTAAATGAGATTTATGAGTTAGTTATGTGTCAAGTCGATTACAAGACTTTGCTGGTAATTACTGACTCCACTGTGGAAGCCTTGAAGCTAGAAGAATTTCTCGTTTGTCACGTGTAAGTATTTATTTTAAATTTACTTGTAGTTCAAGTCCTTTAAAGCCGTAATTAAATCTTTTAAGCATTTTTGTACATAAATATGACGCTAAAACATTAAAAAGCTTCATGTTTTGTCTCCTTTAAAATTATTTTTGTTTTAATTCTTTGGCTGCTTCAATCAGTTGGGAATTTTCCACTTCATCAATTTTCCAGTTCGGAAAACTTTCAGAATCATCAACGATATCAAATTTCTATGCATATGCATGCTTCATTGACATAGTTCAAAGCATTTTGACCACAAAATGTGACACAATTGTGGAGGATTTTTGATTAAAAGAAAATCGAAGCGCCATTTTCCTCTCAAGAAAATATTCGAAGAAAAATGTTTGAAGGCGTGTTTCGTTTTTTCTTATTCTGTCTCTCTGTCTCCCTCTTTTAGCAGCATAAAATTTAATTAAAGTCAAGTTTAGTTCGCTTCCTTTAATGGATGAAACAAAAACCTGATGTGCAGAAAGAGAAGTGAAAAGAACAAGTTTGAGACAAGCTGTGCAAGTTTGTCATTTAACTTGTTAGTGCTAATTAGAACTTATAAGTTAAGAATCAAAAGTTTCATTCACTGCTAAACGAATATGAGTAGAAAATGTTTATCATAAATAATTTTAAAGTTGAAATAGAGTTTTGTAATCCAAGAATGAACTTTTAAGTTATTATTTTATTTCTTTCATAAGTTTAATATTCAATTAGTGAAAACAATCCCATGGGCGATAACGAAGGAGTTAAACTTAAATTTTATTACAATAAAATTTATTTTAATCCTCAATTTTATTGGAATTTCTCAAGACGAGCTCATGTCTTAAGGATTTTGCATCTTAAACATTTTAAGTGTTCATTCATTGCTTTTAAACCTTACTTTAGTTCAGCATTCTTCAGCATGTTTATTTGTTATAAAATTTTAACTATCTCGATAAAAAAGTTAATGAATAGACCACCAAACATGTGGTCTTACATAGAAATCATTTGATTACAATCTCGATTCAAAAAGAATTTCATTTGCGTGTTTTGTAATATTTTCATAACTCAAACAATTAATATTTCACTCGTCTATGGCGCCCACAGTAACTCTCGTGTATTGTTTAACTTAACATCGCAGAACAATCAACGAAAAGTTCATCACAGCATGTGTGAATATTCACACTTCTAATAATGACCATTTTTAAAAGAAATATTAAATTTTGTTTTTCTTTTGGTCGTTATGACTTGAATACACTTACATGGCGTTCAAAAATATTTTTTCTGTTTATTCACATCGGAGGCGCTTCGTATAGCAATCAGCAGATGAAAAATGCTTTCAACCTACACGAGATTCAGAGGAGAAAAGTTTTAAATCACATTTATGAGAAAAGACATGTAATTTCAATGTGATTATTTGTTTTACACTTTCATTACCATCAGCCCATTATTTATAATGTTTCCTGCGTCTCTTTACTTCGTTTAACGTTTTTTGTTTCCCTTGTCTGGTTCCATCAACCTAATTTATCATCCGATCAATAAAAATTTCAGTGAAAAATCACTCCAAGATACCCTTTTGTCTATAATCACATTTATTATCGAATGTTTAATCATTCCTTGTTAGAGAAAATCACAAAACATCATCCAATGAAAGAAATTTCTCTCCTTCAGCAACAGCTTTTGATGAGCGTGGAATGTTTGACGGGATTCCACGCTGCTTCAGTCCCTTCTTTGTCTATTTGTTTTAACAAGATTGAGAGTTAATAATATTTAATGATTTCTGAAATGTTTGAAACAACATGTAGTCAATCCCAAGCGCGTAATAACATAGAACAAAACGAGAACATCGAACAGAGAAGAAATGATCTAACATTAGAAAATTTTAATGTTCATCGGCGTCAGTTGATTCAAACTTCTTATTTTTTTCTTATTTCTACCTTCTCACCGATTACACATCGTTCAACGGTGATAAACATTTATGTCCGATAAAATGAGGTTGAAGATAAATTTTTTGGCTAATAAGTAGAATGAGATTTACGAGAATTGGTGCATTCATCATCTGGGAGGTCTCGTGAAAAGGTTATTGGTTTAAGAATCTTTCAATCTTTACCTTCAACTTATTTTCTTTTCCCACGTACAAATCATTTCCTTAAATAGTCGATTAAAATTATTTCAATGATCTCACAATTGGAGCTGAAAGAAATTCCAAACCAGATGCTAATTAAGGTTTTCTGCTTCTTAACGTTGCACAAGAGTAATGTTTTAATCATTAATTAGATTTCACGCAATGTGAATATAAATGAAGAATCGTTTGCATTCTTCAAGTGTCGTTATTATGTTTACAATGCTTCACTTTATGCAATAATAAGCTTAAAACTTTTAAGGATATCATTCTTTAGCAAACATCTTTCAAATTCTTTCTTTTCGATTCTCCATCGAGCAATTTCTTTCCGATCAAACCTTGATACATAAAACAGGCGCCACTTGTCATTATTAACGAAGGAATGAATTATTGCGAGTTGTTTCTCTTTCTTTCCTACTTTTTAGAGATATCGGCGAAAAGTTTTAAAAGAATTCTTTTTTGTTTCACAAGCTAAACTGCTGCTTTGAAACTATGCGTAAAGTGATTATTAATCATAATTTCAATTATGTGTAGTTAGTGTGAAGTGACTCAACTGATTTAATGTTCTTTTAAATTCTAAACTGAGACAGAAAAGTTAATCATGAAACATGATAGTTTGGTGAATGGAAAAAAGCTACTTAAAAAAAACTTTGTGCAGAGTAATAAAAGTCAAATTTATGTAAAACGAGCTGAAAAATCTTCTGACGACTTTTTATTTCGTGTTTATGATAATCATGAGAACCTCGTCGTCTTCACCAAGAAACTTGAAAAAGAAAACAAATTTGAATAATATAATTAATTACATTTCATCCCAAAAAGACCAAAAACATAACTCTTGGACTATAATCTTGAAATTGGATTCTTAGAATCACAGAATTTTTTTTACGATCTTGAATCGCGGACAGGAAGAGAAAAAAAATTCAAGATGATTATTAAAGATTCTCCTTTATTCTTATTTTTGTTTCTTTTCAGCTATCTGAATATTGAACATCTAACGAAATGAAAAGTGTTGATAATTAGAAGTTGAAAATTATGATTAGCAACAAATTGAGAATGCAAGTTTTTGTGAATTTCTCAATTTGTGAGTTGATTAATCTGAAATATTTTAATAACAATAACAAGTGACAACAACTTCAAAACCAATCGATTTGTCAAGAAATAACTTTTTTTGTGGTAGCTTCAAGTCAGGTAGTTTTGTGTTGCTTTTTTTGTTATCAAGCTGAATAAATAAGAGAAATCACTTGCTGTGAATTTATGTTATAGACGCTAACCCGTTGTCGCTGTGATTTTTCATTAAATTCATAATTTATTTGTGTCTTTGTCTTGAGTCATATCAATTTTCATATTAACAAGACTGTAAACAATATGGAGACGATGAAAATGGGAAAAAAATATGAGCCAAGCCTTATTATCGTTGCCGCATGATTGCTGGAAAGAAGGAGAAAAAAAAGCGCCAATGCGGCGGAACTCGCTTTGAAGTTTAAAATGTGTCAAAGACATGAAACTTGATTACGATTATTATAAAATATAATGATGGCGGTAAGTGGTTGACTTGTTTGTTGCATTAATCGCTCCTTAGAAATAAAAGGAGTGATATAAAATATCTGAAACTTGACCAATCGACAATTATTTAAATAGTTGACTGACATAAAGTTTTTAACTCTTTGAAGGTTGCGAAATGCTTTAGACTGCAATAACATTCAACTTATCTTGAATAAACAGAAACTTCCCATTACTAAGCAGTTTAATTTTGATATCAAAAAGGCAAAGCAAAGAGATTCTCGTTAGATTTTGTTTCGACGTTATCTCTGATGTTTTTTCTGATGTTCGTGGTCAGATGAGCGTGGCTTTCTTTATTAGCTTTTCGTTGTTGTTTCTTTCCTTACGTCTGTTTTTGATGAAAGAAACAACAAGCAGGGATTTTGTTTTTAACTCCGTGCTTAACTCATATTCTTCTAACAGAACTGAGCCGCTTTGCAAGCAAGCAAAGAACGAATCGAGCGGACAAAGACAAGCCAAAAACGAAACAGAAAAAAATTTGTTAAAACAAAAGGAAAAGATAGAAGAATTTTTTAAAGACATGGCGCCCGCCTGATGAGAATCTGATTTTGCTTTTATTATTTCACGAGAATGTGGAATGAAAACTTCTTCATTATGTTTGTTTATGTAAAAGATGAATCGATGGTTAAAAAGATGGACCTTTGCAAGTGTCATTCTTCTGTTTCCAAAATGCAAAATTCGATACTTAAATACGCAGAAGATTTTCAATGAACCCCACACGAACTGCAAATAAATTTGTTGAAAAGTGATGTGAAAATTACCACCTTTCCGATGTGGCCAATCATTCAATCATTTCATCATGAAGTCAGCAAAAGAAGAGTGCAAATCTTTGGCAATTTAGAGGCAGGCAATGAAGAGCAGACCGAAGATGATTTCAAATCCACTTTACGAAAAACAAACAATTTGACTTTGAAGGAAAAAATTGGTGCCCTCAACGATCTGAGATGGTCTTAAAATCGGATAAGTTGAAGAAACACTGAAATTACTGTAATTATCCAATATATTATATCATCACATTTTGGGTTTCCTTGCAGCATTTGTTACTTCTTGTTCTCAACAATTTTTTATTTTTGTTTCTTTTGCTTTCTTCTTACGCAAAAATGCACACAGGAATGAATACAAGAAATCGGTTAAAAAAAGCAACAAGAAGAAATCTTTCTCAAGGGTTTCGTCTTGAAGAATCTTTTTAAGTATTTAGGCGCCTTACAATTTTTACTCGATTTCTTCTTTGTACCAGGTTGATTGTCAGCCTAGTCAGCCTACTTATGATTTATGTTGTCTCCAGAGAGAGACGTTAAAATTGATTCCAAAGTTCTTCCATGAACTCAACAGATTCGCGTATGACGAAGTAAACAAAATTTCTTTCACAGCTCATCGATAATTGAAACCCAACGATTCAATAACGCTAATTAATTCTCAACAAAGGGAGGTGGTGTGAGATTAAAGTAGCGTCAAGACTCAATTTAGATGATCACACCTTTGAGAAGCTGAAACTGATTTAAATCTTTAAAGCAAAGCAAGCAAGCGAGCTTCTAAGTATTCACGCTTTCTGATGGATGGAAAGAAGAAAACAAGGTGTCAAATTCCGACAAAAATATATTAAAATCTCTATTTTACTTAATCTCCTTTTCGAATGTTTTTCTTCACTATTTTTGAGCTGCTTTTCCCTGTTCGGATTTCTCGACGAATGAGACGAAACCAGTTTAAAATTTCACACCAAAAATCCATTAGCGCTTGAGTAAATATTATAAGGAAACTATAAAACTTGATATTTTTTTGCTGCTGCTATTGCTGCCTGTCTTTGATGCTTTTACTTACCACCGAACTTAAAAACATAAGAGAAAAGAAATGAGAATTAGAAGCTCAAGTGAAGAACTAAGCAAGAAGATAAGGAAGAAAATGGACGAGACAGACGTGAAAACAAACAAAAAACGAGATTGAATTTAACAGCTTTTGTTTGTTCTTATCATAACTTCATTTCGGGATTTCTAACAAAAATGGTTTCTTGAAGTGACTCAAGCAATCCTTCGACCATTAGAAAGAAGAAGATTCTAAATTATGGTAGAAATAGAGAAAACTTTGAATCGTAAGATTAAGTTTTGTGTTGGTTTAAGCTGTTTTGTAATTTCAAGTACCGAGAACAATTATCATGGTCAGAGTACTTGAGACTGGAAAATGGTGTGAAAGAAGCGATTAAAGATTATATTTGAGATTAAAATCTGAATCTTCTTTCTTCGGATCCATCACAAATTCCCAACTGACCTGTTAGAAACTTATCAGCAAATTAAAATATTCTCAATTAATATTCTCAAATTTTTATTTTCTTTCACTTACTTCAAGTAAAATTAAATTTTTTGGCAATAAAATTAAAAGCTACATAAAATCTAAGTTTGAGTACATAATGAAAGCTTTTCGCTTCGTTTCTTTTCTCTAACTAACATCAGTCAATATTTAAGATAAATTTATACAGAAAAATTGAAATGAATTTGAATAAATTTACAAACCGAGAATAGCGGCGATTGAAAAATTTGATTTTTTCGGTGAATCTTCTTGTGGTGGGCATGAAATTGAAATATTTTTGGTTGGTGAATCTGGTGGAGTGAGTGATGGCAAGTTTTGTGGACTCAAAGATTGTTCATGGTTAATGTAAGGCATGACAAGGTTCATCCATTGTCTGTTGGCTCCAAGCATTTGATGGTAATGTTGTAGTGCGTATGGATATTGATTTGTTGACATCATTGGAGAACACAAAGGCGACTGCCGATCATCATTGATAACCGTTGAAGGAGATCTTGATCCATTTGAAGACGTTTCATAAGTCGAAAATTCACTGTCTTCGACTGACCCAGCAGAAAATGTCGATGGACTCAAGACACGAATTCGTTTCTGTTCTGTCTCATAAGTTGACTGCGAGAAATCGTCATTGCCTTTCGATTGTTGCTTTTGATGGGATGAAGTTGTAATTTTTCGTTTGCAACGTGATTGTCCCGTCTCGCGGAATCCTTTCGCGAATGGATTATTGTCGATCTTCAATTTGGTTATTCGATCGTTCTGTAAGAATAAGAAAGTGAAGAGAAAAATGAAATGTCGGCAGATCAATTCGAATCAAGAATCAAAAGATTTTCGTTTACGCCTCGTGGATCTTTAAGCCAGCAAGTAAGGCCAACAATTCAATAATTGTGTCACCTTTTTAAATGTTTGGCGGCATCTTTTCCATCAGATAATCTCTGATGATCTTTCATCTCTCAAGAGAGATTGCCACAAATCAATTATGACGATCCATTGGGGCATGCGAAGATCATTTTTGATTTCATTGCGAAAAGTTTCACCATGAAGATGAAAAGTTGTCATTACCTGATAAGCTGTGACAGCAACAAACTCGGTTTCATTGAAAGCAAATGATTTCTGAGGTGACCACGGGATTTGTGCTGGATCCGAAGTACGAACGATGTGAATGCGTGGCTGATATTTGTGCATGCTGGTCAGAACAACCTGAGAAAGAAGAAGATTCCAATTGTAAATCTCAAAGATAATCTTTAATCGCTTCTTTCACACCATTTTCTAGTCTCAAGTACTCTGACCACGATAATTGTTCTCGGTACTTGAAATTACAAAACAGCTTAGAAAGGATAAGCTTGCGATGATACTTACATGTCCATTGCTGTCCAAAGTATTATTTGTGAGTTTAGTTTTGTTAAAGTTGATGGGTTGTGCTTGCCAATGTGAACCTAAAGCGGGACTATCGGGATGAATGTAAATGTTTTGTAGACTTTGAGGTTCGGCACCACCAGCAGGCACCCATTGAGAGCCAGAAAACTTAAATCGACAATCAGCAACTGGAACCATCTCAAGAAGAACGCAATAATTCTGGTCGTTGTCCAATCCCGAGATTGACACTCGCATCGATGGAAACATTCGTCTGTTGTGATAAAAAGAAAGATATAAAATAGAGAAACGTTAACAGTTGTTCAATAAGTTTGCACTCAGACCACCATTGAACATTTTTATGTTTGCGCCGTGTGCTTAACGAAGCATTAAAATTCTTGTTGAAACAATAAAGTAAACGATTTTGTAATGAGATACGTCGGAATGAAAGAGTTGAGTAGAAAAAGAAGTTTGATCTGGTATTTCAACGACCATTTAAGTATTTCTAGCTGTTAATTAGCTCGTTGCTTCAAGCTTAAGAAATTCCTTAATTGCATCAATTTCTTGCACAGACTAATTGGTTTCCATCGGAAATTTCAACATTACATCTCGTCACGTTACATATAATTTATTTGTGTTAAATAATTTCACTCCCTGATCGTCTATTGACACTCGCAGGTTTAATAAAAAGCTGTGAAGTTTGTTCGCTGTGATTGTTCATAATTTCTGAAGTTCCTTGAATTATTTCTTGTATGTTCAAACTTGCGCTTTACAATAAATTTGACAACATAATGTCTTCAACGCACGCGACTTTACAGAATAAATCGAAATGTTTCAAAAACCAACATCATGTTTTGTACACCCTAAAAGTTTTTTATTTCTTAAACGTTTGACGAGGAATTTGTGAATTTTTTTATACCGTGTGGTTAACATTCAACTTCAAAACTCAAACGGCTCATTAATATTTTAACTCATCGTGGTGACCACAAAACTTAGAGTTTAATAAGATTCTCGTTTACAAATTGATTCGAATGTGTTTTCATTCCCTTTTCTGTAAGACTCGCACTCGAATTCATTTTCCATTGGAATTCTCGTCCAGACAGATTTCTCAGAAAGCATATCACGCTTTTTTGACGATTGAAAACATTTAAGAATATTTAAAGAAGGGAACAAAATTTTTAAGAAGACGTTTGCTTGTTGTTAAGTGAAAAACCACAAAAGTTTTATTTGCGCAACGCTTTTCCTATGAATTGCGTCTTCTGTTGTGATTCCACTGAAGAGACTTACATGACATTTTTCACTTTTCGTGTGTAGATTTTAAGTTGACGCTTTTTCTGGGAAAGTCTGCCCCAGTGTAAAAAGTAATTTAATGGTCAGAGTGTGAACGACAAGAGGCAATAAAAAGGAACGATGCTGAGATTTAATTAACGACTCAACGCGAGACAACAAGTATACAAGGAAAACATGCTGCTGACTTTCTCGCGGGCATCTTTTTTTTTATTTTCATTTCTTTTCGACCCGTTTTGACGTTTTCCTAAATATTCTCATCCACATTCAGTCAGTGACATGACGGGATGAACGAAACAGTTCTACTATAAAATATATTTAAATATCAACATGTATCAAAACAGCTTAAAGCACCTCGAAAAATTATAAAAAGAGATCGTAAAATGTGTCCAAGGCGGATCATTAAGATGATGGAGCAAGCAAGCAAATGGAGATAAGAAGAAAAAAAAAAGATTCCAACCAGCAACGATAAAATTTATCTACGATTCTTCTGTTTATTTATCTCTTTTTTTAAAGCCAGCATATCGTGTTATTGTACATACATCGATGTTTAGCTGCTGGTTGTCCCGACAACCTCTAACATTTTATGTTTTTGATGCCACTTCAAAAGAAAAGACAAAAAGAAATGAAAAAGGGTCAAAACTTGAGGCGACAGACATCATTTACAATTTAAATCTAATCTTAAATCAAAGTTTTCTTTAAGAGAAAGAAGACACCGATGCAACTGGAGAATATTTAATGAGATAAGCGATGATGAAATGTATTTTAATTGCTTTTGTGGTTTTGTTGAGATTTCTTTTAACCAGAAGCTTTTTAACACAGAGCTGAATGTTTATAATTTTATACAGTTGAATGCTATCAATGCGTTGCAAAACATAAATAGCAACGCCCAAAAAAACCATCAGAATGAACTCTTTTCGCATTTCGAATGAGCTTTCCAATTAATTATTCTTATAACGATTCTTATAAATTACATTCGTGATGTTCCATATGCTTCACGCGGAGTTTCTACAACATCAGATCGGAACGGAAAGAATTTAATGTTGTTGAAGTGAAGTCGAAGAAAACCAGAGATGGGCAAATTGCACGTTCAACTCGATTGACTGACTGACTGACATGTCAATGTCTGTCAGTCAGTCAGTCAGTCAGTCAAAATCGCAAACAAAAATGTTCTTATGTTGGGAAGCGTTCATACAAATGTTCCGCTCAAGTCGTTTGACTGACTGACTGACAAGTCAATGTCTGTCAGTCAGTCAGTCAAATCCCAACTCTGAAGAAAACACAAGAAGGGAGAATTGATTGAAGGACTCTTCACAGATCCACCATTTAAAGAAAAGATGTTTCGCCGTGAGAAAAATTCAACTTTCGCCAAGGTTTTCTTCATCAGATAAAAACGGCTACACAATAATTATCATCACACATTGTTAGTCTTTGGTGGTCTTTAAAAGAGTTGGCATAATTTAATGTTTTTATTTCAGAAAATGAATCTCTGCTTTGCATTCTACAAATATGGGAAGAATGAACGTTTTCAATTCCATTTCATCACTTCAACTTCTTCTTCTTCTGCTGACTATCAAGGAATTTCTTTCGATATGTTGCAATGGCTTCTTTATTTGACTTATCAAAATCCTTCTTCTTCGTTGATTTTTCTTTCTTACATTTGTGTTCACATTTAAGAGTGTCTCGTGGATGACAAATCCATGCTTTACTCCAAATGTAGCTTAAACTTGGTAAAGGCTTTTCTCTATTATAACACGGCATTGAATTTAACTTTAATTTATTATTTGCGAAAGAACAAAAAACATTAATTTGATTAACGAAAGGAGAAAAAGTTAAATCATTGCTAAGGTCACTAAGGTAGTTTAAAACTTTATAAACAAAACTGAAAGAATAAGAAGAAAAAAAGTTTTTTTTTGCGTTCATAACCAACTTGAAGTTAATCCGATTCAATAAAATGTAAAACGTGTAACAAGAAGGCGTAAGATTTCTAATTGAAAGGTATGAAATCAAAGTAAAACAGAAAACATTCTTTACCTTGTTAGCCCCGTCAGATCTCTAATCAGTTTCTCATCAAAATATTGTTTGAATGGAAAGAAGGAAAAGCAAAGAGAAAAGATTCTTTCAAGAAAATAAATATCAATTACTTCAGGCAGCATCTCTGTGGGATATTCAAATGGTTCTCATTGTTTTAAAAAGAGAAGTCTCGAAGCAGGAAAGCGCTAGAGAAAGACGAAGACTACCATAGGAGGTCATAGGCATGGCGCCAAGCCGAAACAGCGAAAAAGAGAAAAACTTTTGTAACCTTTTTCACATCTCTTGAGACTTCTGCATTTTTTTTTGTTCTTCTCGTCTGTTCATAAATATTATGAACCTTAAGAGGTTATGGGAACAAGAAGAAGAATTTGATCTTTTTCATTCCTTTCCATTGCGTGTCTTTTTGATACCAAATAAATATGAAGAGAATGAAGCCCTAAAAGCGTCATCAAATGTTCCGCAAAAATAAAAAAGAGGCACTTGATAGGTTGTCGAGTGGATACACAGAGAGACGGAGAGAAAAAGACATTTGAGGAAAATTTATCGCTTGCGCAAAACTTTGTGTCTCGTTTACAGTTGATCCCATCGACATTTTTATGAGGCGACAAGAGATACATTAATAGTTTGCAAGAATACAACAAATAATTAGTTTCACATGGCGTTGGTGTCAGAGAGTTTTGTGATAGATTTATTTGTGAGAAATTTATAGACCAACTCACCTTCCACACTTTGTGATGATCATTTCGGTGCCGATCTTATGAAATTCTGACCATAAATCTGCATTTTGTAATTTCACTTCGGCTTCGGGTAACGTGAAACGTGGAGGTAATGGCGGCAGTTGTCTTGATGGAAAGATCGATGAATAAGGATCTGAAATTTACAAAAATCGATTAATTTCGTTTTTACTTTGTTGTTATTGGAAAGTTTTCACTGCACGCGTTTCGTAAATATTTCAATTCAACATGAAACAACAAAAATAAATAACATTGCATAAATTGCAGCTGCGCATTTTTAGTGAATTGAATGAATTGAAAAACAAGAAAATTAATTTACAAAAAATCTTGAAAATTAATCAAGAATTTGTAAAAATCATGTTTAAGGGATGAAAGTTTACATCTAAATAGACTTGAATGAGATGATCATAAGAGAGAAGTCGAGAAAAGTCAAAGTCATTAATCAAACATCTCGAAGCATTTATTTTTGTGTTTGTTTTAACCATGTTGATGGATTCCCGTCGCCAATTGTGATGTTTTTAAAAACAAATATTTTTGTTGTGCTTTTTGAAAAAGGAAAACTCTTGAGATGAATTACCTGGTATCCTTTGCATCATTTGTTGTCTGTAGAATTCCTGAGCTAAATGGTGCTGCAGTCTGAAATCTATTATCTCACTCATTTTTCTGTTTTCTATTTTAATTGCACTTGATTTTAATTTTTTTTTATTCGAGTTCTTTTATCTTTTGTTTTTTGATATCAAAAACAGTTTTTCGTTTGTACTTTTCAATGAATTTTCTATTTTCAATTTTTTTTATTGTTTAATTTTAAACTTCACTTGGAAATTTATTTAATTTCTTCAAAATATTCTTATAAATGTTTTTTCTAAACGTCTCGACGCGACTACAACTTCAACTTGACTGTCTCACAAGTGAACACAAAACTAGCATTTGTATAGTTATTCAAACAGGTTTGTTTGTTTCTCTCTTCTCAGTTCCCTTTTAATGTAATCTTCGCCTTTCATTCATTGGTTAGAGACGGCATTCGATGCACAGTTTGTTTGCAGAGAACGAAAACAACGTCCACGCCTTCTAACATATTCAAGCTTTTCTCTTTCCAATTTTCTTTTGCACGTAAAAATGGCGTTAAACGTTTTTCCCTCTCAAACGACTCAAATCGAAAATTGAAAAGCGCTAGAAGTTCACAAGAATTTTAATGGAAATTTATTCAAATTGAATTCACGCGATAGCCTCGCCGCTCTCGTGTTTCTTTCATTATTTTTTTTGTGTATTTGCTTTTCTATATTGAATTGTTGGAAAATGCCAGACACCTACAACGTTTAATTTATTGATGCGTGTTTGTGAAGTTACAATTTGTGGAGATTTAAAATTAAATTATGTCACAAATTTTATTCAAATTCAGAAAAAGGAAAGTTTAAAATAATGAATTTAACTTAAAATTCTTTTACAATGAAAAGTTTAAAGTGACGTCATTACATGATAAACCCTTCTTAAGAACTCATTTCGAATTCCTTTTTAAAATTCTTTATCATCAAAAATGTAAAATTTCCTTCACAAATAAAAATATTTGTACAATGGACTTTGGTCATGATTAAGAAGAATGGAGAATTTGAGTTTCTTTTCGACCTAAATATGTTCAGAAACTTTTGGGGTAAAGCACTAATGAGTTTAAGAAATTTAGTGAAGCATGAAAACTTCCTAAAAATTATCAAAACTTCTTCTGAAAACAAAAAACTAAACAAACACAAAATGTTTTCATATTTTCGTTAACTTATTACTCAATTTATTATTTGGCAAAAAGAAATTATTTCACTTTTATAATGAAGTAGAAAATATTTTTAATGTTAATGTCAATTAAATGTAACAAATATCTTTTGATTCTATTGCAATTTATTAAATCTTTGAATAACAAAAAAGTTGATTTAATGACAAATTGTTGTTGCTAAATCACTTTTCTCTAAACCTAAAATAGCAGAAATGGAAAAGTTGGATTTCTTGGGAGAAGTTTCTGAGTTTTCGTCAGAAGCATTTGAGTTTGTGTCGTCAGTCATCACATCTATTTGTCTATCGTCTGTCGACGAAGAGTTTGATGGTGTATCAAGTCGTTGTGAACTTGAGTGATTGCCATTCATGTGTGGAAGCACGAGATTCATAAACTGACTATTGATCATTTGATGATAATGTTGTAGCACCATTGGATAAGGATGATGGGGAAAGTATGGAAGTCTTTGTGACAAGAGCCGTTCATCAAACGATGGGGAATTTGTTCCGCTTGATGAAGTTTCATACAGAGATAAGCCGGAATCATCTTTTTGGGAACCTGAAGAGAAAGCTGATGGACTCAAGACACGAATTCGTTTCTGTTCTGTCTCATAAGTTGACTGCGAGAAATCGTCATTGCCTTTCGATTGTTGCTTTTGATGGGATGAAGTTGTAATTTTTCGTTTGCAACGTGATTGTCCCGTCTCGCGGAATCCTTTCGCGAATGGATTATTGTCGATCTTCAATTTGGTTATTCGATCGTTCTGTAAGAATAAGAAAGTGAAGAGAAAAATGAAATGTCGGCAGATCAATTCGAATCAAGAATCAAAAGATTTTCGTTTACGCCTCGTGGATCTTTAAGCCAGCAAGTAAGGCCAACAATTCAATAATTGTGTCACCTTTTTAAATGTTTGGCGGCATCTTTTCCATCAGATAATCTCTGATGATCTTTCATCTCTCAAGAGAGATTGCCACAAATCAATTATGACGATCCATTGGGGCATGCGAAGATCATTTTTGATTTCATTGCGAAAAGTTTCACCATGAAGATGAAAAGTTGTCATTACCTGATAAGCTGTGACAGCAACAAACTCGGTTTCATTGAAAGCAAATGATTTCTGAGGTGACCACGGGATTTGTGCTGGATCCGAAGTACGAACGATGTGAATGCGTGGCTGATATTTGTGCATGCTGGTCAGAACAACCTGAGAAAGAAGAAGATTCCAATTGTAAATCTCAAAGATAATCTTTAATCGCTTCTTTCACACCATTTTCTAGTCTCAAGTACTCTGACCACGATAATTGTTCTCGGTACTTGAAATTACAAAACAGCTTAGAAAGGATAAGCTTGCGATGATACTTACATGTCCATTGCTGTCCAAAGTATTATTTGTGAGTTTAGTTTTGTTAAAGTTGATGGGTTGTGCTTGCCAATGTGAACCTAAAGCGGGACTATCGGGATGAATGTAAATGTTTTGTAGACTTTGAGGTTCGGCACCACCAGCAGGCACCCATTGAGAGCCAGAAAACTTAAATCGACAATCAGCAACTGGAACCATCTCAAGAAGAACGCAATAATTCTGGTCGTTGTCCAATCCCGAGATTGACACTCGCATCGATGGAAACATTCGTCTGTTGTGATAAAAAAAGAAATAAGCGAGAAAGTTCCATTAAATAAAATCACCAAACAGATTCAGAAGCAAGAAATTTATGAATGATACCCGATAAGGTTTCAGATTTTGCATAATTTTTGAATCGCTTTTTAGCGGAATCTCTTCTTTGTTGTTTCCACTCACAATCAAAGTTTTTTGAGACATTTTTTTGAAACAACAAACGTGAAGAGAAACAAAGAATGTCCCGCTTTTATTTTTTAATTCAATTTAATCTATTCAACGCTAATGGATTTTTGGTGTGAAGTTTTACAACTGGTTTGGTGACTTCTTATTCCACTTACTTGCTCATGCCGAAAGCAAAATTTATTTAAAGGCGAGAAGAAGAAGTCGAAACATCAAGTTCAGTTCTGTGTGAGATTAAATGGCATTTTTGTTTCCCCATTAGGAATTTAACACCTTGGTGTTTATCATCATTAAAGCTACAGTCACTTGAGCTTCAAATGTTTAATAATGTTCGCGCTTTTCACGGTCTTTAATGCGTCATGTCCAAACAACCAATTATTTATGTAGATCAACCTCCAACTATGCGCATCAAAGTCAATTTGTGAACGTCATAAATTGTCATCGCTACAAATTGAGTTTCGTGTCGAGGATAATTCGTCTCTCTTGCCTCTAACCACATGGCGAGTGCTTATTTATGATTACAAATTCTACCCTTGAAGGCTTTTTTTTGGATCGTTTCTCGATACTTATTTAAGATTTCAAAGCACGCGACATCTTATGAAGAAGCATCAATAAACATTGTTGAAGTTTAGTGAGTGGAACCACCACATAGGACAGATGCATGAAGCGAAGCATATGAACATGCATCTTTAGTGAATGATTATTAATAATTATATTGATTTTGAGATTAGTTTGAAATGCTTTTAAGAATTTTAAGTCGCTGATAACGACGAGAGCATGAATAATTCGGCAGATGCTTGACATGCCTTTGAGTGTCACTTATTGCAGTCATAAATGTGGTCTGTCTGAAGATCGCATGCCGTGTTATCGACGCACTTGACTTCAACTCTTAATATGCTATTGAAGTTGCAATCATAAATCATCAAAAGTATTCTTGCTTTAACTTTGTTTCCTTCATTCGTTTTTTCGCAAGTTAAAAGGCGCCAAATTACTTTAACAATTTCTTAATTTTTTGAATGCAAACAAATCTTCATGTCGACAGATATTTCCGGTGTTAAATGCATTCGTCGCATTACTTAACTCATTTAAAACTCTCCCAAAGAAAGAATTCGAGTTGAAAAAGCCGAGAAAAATCTAATCTGATGCTTAACTGGCGGGCGCCGTTTGTCTCGCATATTTTTCAGTTTGCTCTTTTTTATTGAAATGATTTCTATGAATTCCTTTTGTTTCAGAAGAGTCGAATGAAGCAACAACATCAACAGCCCTTTTCGTGTATTTATGACCACAGGAATCTGAACAACGATGAAATCTTTTTGGGTGGTTTTCGCTGACATGAAGGAAGAAACTTAGAAGATCTCAGTCTTGAGATTATCAACATAAGGATAAAAAGTTGAATATCATTATTGGATAATCGAACGACTATGAAAGACTTGCTTGCTTTAATGTGGCTGTTAAAAATGAAATCAGGTTATTAGGTAACAAAAGCAATTATCAGCTCGTCAGCTTCTCAATCAACGATCGATATGACTATTAATCTGTTTACGTCGCGACTTTGACTTCTTCGTCTTCATCATCAACAACAAATTCATTCGTTATCATTCATAAAATTCAAAGCTGTTCGATTTCACAGGAAACATTCAAAAGTAGAGATCTCACAGGTTTTTAATCGACACACGAAATGCTTTAATCACCAGATCGACTATCATAATTAAATTTATTCAAATGAGTATTCGTTCGTGTCTTTTGGTTTCTTTTTTTATGTTTCAGGAAAATGTGAGAAACACAAAATTAACAGAAAAGAGAATAAAAATTAATTTTGAAGCTGATAGTCTTTATGTGGCATAAAAAATCAGCTTCAACAAGCGATATGGAAATGATCGTTGATCGTTTCTTGAATTGATGTGATGAATATGGAAACTCGTTCTCGCGTCAAATGAATCTTTGTTCGCATCTCATTTTAAAATTGATTCGAATGATGTTTTATTGTCAGTAGCTTTTTTCTTCAACTTTTCTTGCTGATAAACTCAAATAAAATAAAAAGTATCAAATAACACGTTTTTAAAATCTTTTCTCTTCAACTTTATGATGTTGAGGAGAAAAAAAAGTTTAAGAAATATCACACGAGATGTGAAGCGGAAAAAAATCACATCTTAAGTCAATTGACACTCGAACATGCATTTTTGACGATGCTCGGCACGAAATGCTCACTTGTCATCTTTCATGATGAATTAATCATAATTCCACTGATACCTTTCCAAAAATCATTTCTCAATCATATTTCTCCATCTCCTTTCCTTCATCTTGACTCATTCTTTCGTTTTTTTTGTCTTCCTTTCTCGAACTTCGAAACTTCACATGAGAATGAACCATTTAATAATTCATTTTACGGGTCATAACGACAAGTGGCGCCTGTTTTATAAATGAAAAATATTTTTCATATGGGTCTTCTTAAACCTTCTTCTGTATTTCATTCTTTTCTTCTCTTTTTGTTTTGTCTTTCGTGCTGGTTGCTTTTTCCTTGATTTGATATCATGATGGGGTGACCAGGAAATTATCATGCAAAATTTTAATCACAACTAATCGTTTTCATTTCAGTTCTTCATAAATTAAATTTCCTTAGACTTCCTTCAACATTTCTACGTTTGGTCACCCCACACAATTGAAAAATAAGCAAAAACTAATTTTGTTTCCTTTTACGTTTGTTTTCGTCGATTCTTTTTTTTCATTTAGTTATTTGTTTTAATCATTGTTCGTTTGTGAAATCTTCTTTTCAATATTGAAAAACAAAGTAAGAAGCGAAACTGAAAGAAGATCGACTTTTAACCATAACGAGCACTTCATTATGTGAATTAAAATGCGACATTTCTTCTGAAATTTAAAAGATGACGATTAGTCTTTATGTCATTTCCAATCTCCAAAACTTTAATGACGACCAAACTCATTAATGAATGAAAAGTGTAACAAAATTTACACAACTCCAAGAAAGTGCGAACTTTTGTCGCTTTAAATTGATTTCCGTGAGAAAGTTTCAACTTTGTTTCGTAACCTTTAATAAGAAAAAATCGAATTGGAAGGCAACTCGGTGGTCTTCGTCGTCGAAAAATAATAAAAATCTTAAAATCATATTTTTCAGATTGAAACTGTTCCGATTCATAAATTAAGAAATTTTTCTGTGTTGTTAATTTCCATCTTCGTTGATATCTTTTCTTCTGCCTCCATTCGAGGCTCATTAGTAACCTGCTGATATTTTACAAGGCCCATTAAAGCCCAACACACAATCATGATTTTATGAATTTTAATAATCGCTCTCTGCTGCTTTTGGGTCTTTGATTTTTATCAATGAACCAGATTTAATTATTCACGAAATGAAAGAAAAAACAAATCGAGTCGACGAGACGGTTTCTTGTCAAAAGTGGTGTTCCTTAAGCAACCATCCAATTTGTTCATGTTGCGAGTTTTAACAAGAAAAAGAATTCCAAGACATGACGCGCTGATGGCACCGTCAATTCCAACGATAAACTTCACTTTCCCATGGAATTAAAGGACATTTCTTATTCTACATAAAGAAATCATCAATAACCTTCAAAGTGTCACTAAGTTGATTCATCACGTTTCGTTCTCATCGGTCTTAGAATAAAAATTCCCGAATAGAGTTCAACATTCCACAGACGAATGTCGGCTGACGCCGTGGTTAAGAACAAATCAGAAATTATGTATCATTTCTTCATGTTTCCATCTCACAGTTATAATTATTGTTATTTTTTCTCTCCCGTCTGTTTGTTTTATTTTTTTTTCTTTCTTATTTAAAGCATCACCTTTCCAAAACAATCGAGAAATTTATTGCGCCTTGTTAGAAACAAATAGAGTTGATTATAGTTTTGTGAATTGAGCGTATGAAAATGTTTTTACAAACTCGTAATTGGATTTCAATGGATGTGATGAAGCTAATGGCTTGTACCGGACGCATTTCACGCTGATGTTATGTTCTGTGAAAATGCTTACGGCTTCTTGAGTCGCCAAGTCATTTAAACAAATTGCCATTTTCAACACTTTAATCAGCCTCGTTACTTACTTCTTCTCTTCCTTCAGGTCAAGTAAGTAAGTAATTCATTCATCATCTTGCGTGTTCATATTTATTTAGTCAGATAGATGTTTAGTTTTAAAAATTGAAAATTATTTCAAATTGACTGTTTGTGAGTAACAACTGTTCGTACGTCGAATGTGTAAAGCAAATAACGCATCATTATTATTGAGCGAATAAGTTTGCAAACGATAATTTGAATTTAATAAGGAAGTCGATTAATGATTTGTTGGCTTGAATGGCGTCATCAGAAATTGATTGTCTAGAGAGATGAAAGAGAATCTTATCAACCGATAATGATGCAAGTTTACACCTTTTCGCATAAAGATTCCTTTTATGTTAGGATAAAGAACGTGAGATCCTTTGATCAAAAACGCTTGTCTTTGTTGGAAGATCGTTTTAAACAAACAATCGAGACGAGACACATAAAACACCAGGCACTGTTCTTGCTCTTCTTCTTCACTAAGCCATAAAACATAACAAAAATCGTACGAAAGGAACGAGACGTATCTTTATGGCGATCCACAACAATGATACCTGCTGATGTATCATCCATAATTCAATCATTCCACTGACTGTGCAATTGTTCTTTTAACAAAGGAATGAAATCGTTGACGTGTGATTCAGTTGCATTTGCAGGTGTTTTTTGACACTTTTTAAACTGCTTACATCAGGTAGATTACATAAATGTAAGTGATGAAGATAGAAAGATGACGATCGCTGTGTAAAAGTCATCATCATGTTGATGATAAGCTTGTCAAATGTTTATCATGACAAAACAGAAGAAATAAGAAAAAATACAAACAGGAAATAGAAGAAAAATAAAAATGCAGATTTATTGACTTTTGTCTCTGCATAAAATCATTCACAGTCAGATAACTGCAATCGGAGATTTGTTTACCTCATAAAAATAAAAGCAAGAACAGATTTGGCCGTCAATTGGCAAACATTGTCGCTCAACATTGATACTTGACATGATGAAGATGTGATGTCTGGTTCTTTTATTTAATAACTTCACTTGAAAAGTCATCGCAAACACAAATAAAAGAACTTTTATTAAATATTTTGAAAAGAAGAAACATTTGACAAAATTTCGTATAAACAAACAAAACTCTTAATGGATTTGACAATTTAAGTTTCCTGCCATTTGATATTTTTTTAGTCTGATTCGTAGTTTTGCCACATTCATTGGCACCATTTTTAAAATGCTTTTTCGAGGGATGGGAAAAGGGAGAAAATAATTTTTATTGTTTGAATTGTAAAACGTGTGATTTTTAACATCTCCCTTTAGCGTGTTTGATTTGAACATTTGACCGGCTTTTGTACTTTGGCACTTGAGAAGAATGAAAGCAAACATCCAAAAGTCTTGCTTACAATCATTTGAAAGTTGTAAAATTGGGCGCCATGAGGGCGAAAAAAAGGAAAAAAAGAAGAAATGAACAAATAACAGCAATCAGAGATTGTTGAATAACATTTGGGGATTGAGTTAACATGTGGCGTCTTGGTTATCATCAGAGAAATGTTACTGTTTGTAGCAATTTCCTTATCTTATCTTTTATGATTATATTTTGTCCAACCCACCTGCCACATTTTGTGATGATCATTTCAGTGCCAATCTTATGAAACTCTGACCACAAATCAGCATTTTGTAGTTTCACTTCAGCACCGGGGAGCGTGAAACGTGGCGGAATAGCCGGAGGCTGACGTGCTGGGAAGATCGATGAATATGGATCTGAAATTGAAGTCGTAATTCGTAATTAGCTTCATCTTATAGCTCAATGGAGCCTTCTATGGTAAATAGCTGTTTTAATTAATTTATGGTATTCTTCTCCATCATTCAAATGAAGCCGCTTCTGACTGAACCAAAAAATTATTTTAATTTCTCCTTCGCTATTATCGACTTCTTCGAGTTGCTTTCTGATTTTATGGTCGGATTCAGAGAACCCGCAGAATTGATGATCAAGCGACAAAACTCTCATAAAACACTTTTCTTTCCTCTTTTCGCCTTTCTCTATCCTGATAGTTATCTTGTTGGAAGATCGAGTCAAACATTAGCATAATTTATTATTTTATTCAAAAGTCCATTTGATGTATTTATAACACCGTTTTGAAGACGTGAAATAAAGACAACATCGAGAGAAAAGTTCATCGTAAAATTGAAACTTTGACAGCCATAAAATTCACCTGCCTTCAAAATGCGTCAATTCTTGCAACATAAAAACAAACATTTCTGTTGATGCTCTGCTCACAATAGGAATCGCATCATAAAAATCAATTAACGTTCTTCGGAATCAAAGGTGGTTGCGAGCATTTCTATTATTACATTTTTTTTGCATTTTAATTTATTCATTGAACAGTGAAACATGCCGTGAGATGAAAAATTCGTCCGAAAGGCAAGTCTTGATCATTAATCAAAATAAATGAAACAAAGAAACTGTTTCTGTTTGTTTTTCCTGTAGTTTCTTTTTGAAAACAACTCCCGTCGCCAAGTGAATGAATGCTTGAGATATTTATTTTAACAAATCAACGAGAATGATGAGTTTCATCAATAATGGATGATGTTTTGGAAAAGGAAGATGAATTACCTGGTATCCTCTGCAACATTTGTTGTCTGTAGAATTCCTGAGCTAAGTGATGGTGCAGTCTGATATCCATGATTTCACTCATTCCTTTCAATTCTATTCCTACTCAATTTTATTTAATTTTTTATGGCACAATTTTATTTCTTCAATTATCTTTTAATTATCAATCTAAATAATTTATTAAACTTTTCTTTGTTTCTTCACTCGAAGGTTTAAAATCACTCGATAGGTTTCAACTGCACAACAATTATTAAGAGACTGAAAAGTTGTGAAAATTAACTACTTTACTTTCTGGTGTTGACATTTAACGAACTGAAACCGCCAAGTCGTTCACAAAACTGTTCAATAACTCAAAACATAAACGACAAAAGACTAAGGAAGAGAAGAAGAAAACAAAAGTTGCACGTCGTGATCACAAAACAGGTTCTTCCGATTCTCTTTTCTGGTTTATTTCAACACAAACTTCAGACGTCGATTGGACGGTTGGAAAAGAATTGTATAATTAAGTTTTATGTTGGCGAGAGAGAAGAAACGTTCAAAACACCGCCCACCGAACTCTCTCACGAAATAAGAAACATGAAAAATGGCGTAAAATGAATTAAAACGAATAAAAAATTACTAAACTGCTTAACTGAAGTTTTTAACGCTCCACATGTTGAGAAAGAGAAGAAAAAACATTGAAATGTATTAAAATTCACAATTCTAAATTAGATTATTAGCAATTGAGATTTGTTTTTGTTGGCTTTGGAAAATTGCCAACAGAAAATTTTTCACTACTTTAGCATGACATGAGGCATTAAAAACTTTTATTTGTGCAATTTAAATGTTATTTGATACTAAATTTTGGTTTTGTTGTGGAAATTTTGAGGAAAGCTCTTGACGACTGCAAGTTATAGTGCTGAAAAATAATTAGACAGATAATTAAGCTGTTCAGAATTCGTTTTAAGGACAGCATCGAACTAATAGAAAAGAATTTCTAGCTATTGCAATACTTGCTGTCCACCTTAATCTTTCAGATGTGATTAAACTGATTTATTTACCTAACAAATCATAAATTAAGATATTTAAATTCCCTCAAATTTCAGCTTTTCCTTTTGACTTTGAAAACCAAAAAAGGAAAAGGCAAACTAATTAATACTGTCGCGACAATCATTTGTCGACACGACGCTCGAAACATCTTTCACTTAAAGTTATTTCACTTGACTGAGTAAATCCTAACGATAAGCCAATGTTTTAACAGCAGGTCTTGTCTTTGATCCTTTAATTGTTCTGTTAAATGTTTTTTAAATTATTAAATCACAACAAGCTAGCAGAAGGCTTTCCACTTTAAAACGAGACAAGATAATCATCAAAGCATTTCTTTTTCTATACTTTAAGGGATTTTAATGAATTATCATTGGATTGTTCGCCTACACTTTGTAACACTCCAATTTTGGCAAGTAAAAATTTTCTTGCTTTTAAATTGAGGCATGGAGATGAATTCAGCAACAATTCCGTAAGTCCTTTACGATCAAGCAGTTGAATGTACCGCAAGACTGCGTCACCGACAGTAATAATTGAACTGTCAACTTTTGGTTTTACGAAACCTTTGAATGACGAGTCCAATTTCTCTCCAATCAATACAGCAACATAAGTTAATGCTTGCACATGTTGAGGAAGAATTGATTGGCACTCTTCAAGATTCTTCAAAAAACGAATGTACGGCCGATCTTTCACATCAATTGTGTTAAGAAAATTAATCATTTCATTGATAATCGGAAGCAAAGGCGCCATTAATTGTAAGCTCATAACTTCTGGCACTGCTTCGATGATGTATTTGATGATGATTTGAATATGTTTCATATCTGTCCAAGCACAAAGTTTGAACAGACGATCACCGATATGTTGCAGGTATTCATGTTCTTCTTCCTTCATTAAACAAATGTTGAAGAAACCTTGTTGTCGGACATAGAATCTGCTTGATAAAATAATATTAATCTTTTGTACACGTAAAAGATTTGGAAGAAGATTATCAGGTAAAGTAGTTGAAGGAGTTTCATAAAATAATTCTTCGCAAATATATTTGTATTGTTGAAACAAATAAGTCTTCAAGTTGTCATCATCGAAGGTTTTGAAGTATAAGAAATACATCCACATGATTGGAATAGCCCATGAATGCTTCTCCTGTGGATATTGATCAACTTTGCTTTTAACATCTACGACAACAGCATCAACAGCTTTACAAAAGGCAGAAATCCATTCTGACAATTTGTCGTAATAAACGAACTCAAACAACAAATTTTCTTCCTTTTCAATCAATTTGAAGCTTAATTCAGATGCATCGTCACAAATTAATAAATATCGACTTAATGATATGTAACAAATCAAAATGTTGTTGACTGTTATCTTCGGCATTCCATCAGAGTCCCACATGATAGTCGAACAAACACCGGCAATTTTGAAAAATGTTTCAGATTTAATTACATTCGATTGCAAGACGGGAATTGTTAAAGTTTCCTTCGCGATTGGTTTGAACTTGCAATCACCAATTGCGTCTTTTATTGATTCTGATAGTTTTATGCTTTGTGGATACAACTTGTTGGATAAAAGAAAACTTTCAGTCATGTCTGAATCTGCTTTAAATTATTTTTCTATAAGCTTTCAGTTTCATTAATTGTGATTTGAATTTCAGATCATCTAAACCTACATACAAGTTAATGAAGATGTAAAATGTATTCAATTAATTAATTATTTAACAAACCTTATGAATCTTAATTTGATTGAATCGTTAATAACCCAACAGTTTGATCAAAAATTTATGAAATATATTCGGTTTTTACTAATCGAATTCAATCCCTCGAGACACAAACTATGCTTGACTTGAATGAAATTAAACAGCTTAGTAACTGAAAAAAGAATAAAAATTTAATAAAATTTACCAAATTCGTATTCAACAAAATTAACATTCAAAAATTGTTTTTCATTGCAAACTAGATAAAAAATTCTCACTAATGAGTTGATCAATAAAAATTGTTTGAAGATTGTCTGGAAGTCAAAATGGAAGGAAAATGTGAAAATCCACCTAGAAAAGTCACAAGAAATCATCGTCAAAATATTAAAAACACATTTCAATCTCATTCATGCATTCAACCACAAATCCCACGTCACTTCCAAGCACGCTAACAGCACGTGGATTCAGTGTTTAAAAACGGTTAATATTTTCTATTAAACGCATGACAGCAGTGGGCTGGCACCAATTGTAAAGACTTCAATTAAAAGCAACACCAGCTCTTCACGCCGTTTTAACCTTACAGATTAAAAGACGTCTTAAAATAGAAATTTCCGTGGAAGTTTAACTTTTGTTTTAAAATGGCGTTTAAATGTTGAGTCAGATAAATTTCAAGAAATTTCAACAATTGCGAGTTTCAGAAAAAGATCTTCGCACCATTGTCAGTTCATTTCTTTTCTCACTCGTCAAAAAGTCTTAAAATGACAATAAAGCTTCTTAATGTAAATTAATTCAATTCCAAGTAATTCTTAACGACATCTTCCCCCGTTTCAAGCATGATAATAAATCTTTTTTAATTAGTCGCATTTGCCTAATGACTTGCGGTTAACAAAATTAATCCAATCGTTTGTGATTGACGATAATCTTTTTCATATTTGTCACCGAGTAGGTTGAGACACGTGAAGATGATACCTGCAACAGCCGATTAAACTTCATTCAGATCTCATTTTATAAAATTCTCTTCTTGTGTGTCTCTGGCAATCAATAATTCAGCATTCAATAAGAAAAATTTGCAAGTTATAAAAGAAATATTTAATCTTGTCAAGCGCTTTGTATTTTAAATGTGAAACCAATTTTTTATTTCATATTAAACCAGGCGACTTGCTACAACCAACGATGAATGGCTTCTGTGGAATGTAAATGCATTTAAATGTCAACTCGAGACATGATTTAAGAACTTAAATGCTTCAAGGACATGGAAAAGGAGATTTTCGTGTCAATAAAAATGACTTTATCAGAAATAATTTTCCCATGATATGATATTCATTTTTAAGAGCGGAAGCGCTGTCACCTTACCGACTATAAACATTTAACTCTGAATAAATTAGAATATTTTAACCATTCTCATCTCTCAACTCAATATAATTTACATACACATTTATTCTCAAAATGAAATGAAAAGAAAAGAAAAATTCAAATCGTCGATTTACTTTTAATGTAAGCCAGAGGAAGATCATAAAAATCTTCACAGCTTTTACCAGACACCATCGGGAATTGAAAAGCGAAGCCGACAAGAGCGTCGTCTCTTCTCTTTTCAACTTTGCCGGCAATCACTCGATATCAATAAAATTCCCCTTCAAACAGTAAAAACAGCAGATAACAAAATGTATTTATTACCGAGCTATTCCGGAGGCTTTTTCAATTAAGCATCAAGAAGTGGAGGAGAGGAGAAGAGTAATGATAAGGCGACTAATTCTTTCGTCGTTCCTACTGCTTCTTCCTCCATGCCTTGCGCATCAACTTTGTTGATTCTTTTTGTGCTTCTTTAATGAGAACGGTAGCAGGAGATAAGAAATACATTAACGGGTTTCTTTATTTTTTTTTGGGATTTGATTCAAGGAAAAATGTGGCAAAAGACTCGTCAAAATGGATTTTTTTTCTCTTCTTTTTCTAAGCGTGATATTTACGAGCATCATTAGCAAAACATCGCGATTACGACTCAATGAGAGAAAAATTTTTTTCGATCAAAATTCCAAATGAATGTTTGCATAATTTCTCATTTAAAAAAATTACTGTCGACAATGTTTAACAAACATTTAAGTTGAACGTAGCTAAATAGTCGACTGGGCGTGACGCGACCAATTTGAGAAAATTATTCTTGCATCATAAAAAACGATGCTGAGAGAAATGTTTGAAGGGCGCCATGTATCAGATTTCAGAGCTTCTTTCTTTTTATTATTTTATTTTACTCACTGTCAAGGAATGTTTCCAATTCTTCGTTCTTTTCGTTCATCCTAAAGAGTCACAAGATACGAGCTCATGCTGTTTTATGTGTCTCCAGAACATGAGAACTTCACAACCGACGATGCACCAGATTTTAACATCAAAAGCAAATCAGAGTTACAAGAAGCAATAAATAACAAGATAAAAGTTATATTTCTGCAGGTTCTGTTGATAAGAAAGTCACACGAATCGAGGGGATTTAAGAACAAAGTTTTATGTTTCACCTGTGCTACTAAAACAGCAACCAAACATCAAATGCTTTTAATTAAAATTAATTAACCACGAAAATGATAAATCATTTGATTGCTTCGCATGAAAAACCTTGAAATTTGAGATTCACGTAAAATAAAACAGAAACAAGCAAATCTTTAAAGTCTTACAGCTTGCCGTCAACAATAATTTTGATGGCCATCCCTCAATCATTTATTTTACGCTCAAATCAAGTTATCGCCTTCATAAATTATTTTGATTTAAATCATGGTCAGGCTGTGTGTATTTAAATAAGTTTTTCTTTCATAAAATCTGATCAACTTGCCTGAAGCCTGAGATGATTTGAAATCATTTGGAATCGACTACTAAAACAAAGAAACCGAGAAAAGAAAGATTAAGAAGAAATCAATAAAAAGATTTGGACTTTGGCGCCACCGATCGATGTAAGAAAAAGTTGTTGCTCGTGAATTCCTTGGTGCATTTTTATTGAAATGCTTCTTTACCTAAAATATTTATTTCTTGGGGATTTGATTCGGAAAGCGTTAACATTCGAGAGAACTCATGTTTCATGAAGATTTTAGGGTTGAGATATTTATATGAAAGAAAGATGAACGATGAAGGTTAATTGGTGGTAGTTTGGATTGTAAATTCATGATATCAGAAGAGATGTGCAGTCAGCTTGAAATCTGTTGCAATGTTACAAAAATGTATCATCTGACAAGTTTAAGCGACTGGAAATGGCAATAAAACTGCTTGTGCCATCTGAAAGGAGCTCAAATAAAAATTAATAAAAAAAGGATTTCATTTTGCCTTTTTCGTCTGTCTTTCGGTTTCAATATCAAACGATTTATCTCTCAATTTCTACCGTTGCGTAAAGAGTTCTTTTATCGGCACGAACCCGATCTCTTTCTCAACAACTGACAAGATACACGATGTCGTTTAGAGAAGCGAACTAAACCTTCTTGAACCAATGACACGATGTTTTGTGAGCTCGTAATTGATTGTATTTGATCACAAAAGAACGATTAAAAGACCAATTTTGAGATCGATTTTGTCAATGCCTGTTGATGGCGACATTAGAAATTGATTCTGTCGCAACAAGTGAACCAGAAAAATGTGACAAGCGAACTTGAATCCTTTTTCTAATCTGCAAAATAATTTATTCCTTTTTCAAGCCTCGCCATGTGTTGCTTTCTTTAAATTCTTTAGAAAAACATTCAAGAAAAACAAGACAATAAAATCATTTGTGAGGTGACAATTGAGATTATTTTAATCATAAATAAATAAGAAAAGCCGAAAATCTCTCTGAGAAAATGTCTGACTGAGTTTAACGATTCATATTGTTTCAGACGATTATTTGCATCTAACTCAAGTGGCCTCTTCAAAACGATCCCTTTTTACCACTAAGTAAGCAACTCGTCGATCGTCTAATCGCGTCTTAAGACTCTTGTGCTAATTTATTCCTTTTTCTAGGTAAGAAAATCTTCTTAACATTTTATTGTTTTGTGGCACTCAAGAAAGGCTTTAATTGTTGTCTACACTTTTGCTTCTCATAAACTTTTCTTATTAGAATTTTTCTTTTCTCCTTTTAAAATGTCAACAAATATTTACATTCCGTAAAACTAATTTCGTTTTCATTATCTTGTTTCAAGAATATTGTCATCCAATTTCATTCGAATGACCACCCAATAAAAGATCCCATTGAACCATTTTTTTTTCTTTTTCATTCCCTTGTCAAAGACAAAACCGCCAGATTTTGCAACTTTTTTTTTTGCTGCTTCTTCTGTTTGTATGTTTACAGAGACAGAAGGGAAAAGAATTATTTATGCATAAAGCAAACAGCGATCGAGGCATAAATATACAAAAAAAATGTATAAAAGATACAAAATGCTTTGAATATTTAGCAAGGATTAAAATCAAATTTGTCATCCTAAGTTAAACATTCTTCCCAAATTGAACGAGAAACAAACTTTGCTTCTTTTAAATGGATTTGAAATCATCGATGGTTAATGCAAGTGTGGTCCATCAATAATTAAATTCCTAACAAGGTTGCCGCCTTCAAAGAAAGAGAGAATTCACTTCGGAGCCATGAATCATTGACGAAACCATGTAATTTTCACTCAATTATCGTCTTCAGGATGGAAGAAGCAAAAGAAACGTAATTTATTTGTGAGAGGATCGACACCGTGTTATTAGAGCTTAAAGAATTAGAAAATGAATCAGGAAATCCATCAACGGGATCATTTCCATCTTCAAATATTTGTTTTATCTTTTTTCCACACCCAATCAGTATTCATTTGAAAATTGTGATGCATTGAACCTTTCTTCGCTTTAAAGTGTACCCATTTTCACGTTAATAACACATTTCTTTCAGTTTCCTTCTCTTCATCGCCATACCTGCTTCACCTTCTACTCTGTTCTTTGTTTTTATCATCATCAGTCAGGAAATCAATTAGCATTTTTCCTGGGGGATAATTGTTATGCATGGAACTATGCTTCTCAAATATTAATGTTATTGAAGGTCAGTTTTGGAACATCCGATTCCTTCCTTCATAAAAATGTGTGTATGGAAACTTCAGAACATTCTTCTGTCGTAGACTTCTTTAATTGTTATTTTTTACGCCCTTTTTCGTACTTAAAACAACTCAGAGTCAAATTCCACAAGGCTCCTTTAAACATCTCAAAAATGTTGTTATCATCACTTTTTTTCTGTTGTTGTTATTCTTTATGTTTCTTTCTTTCTTTTCCTTTGAGCCTTCGACTGTCTCCAGACACATTAACATTTCACCAACCACTGACAACATGAGGCACTTGAAAGGAAGAAAAACAGTTTAAGTTTTATTTGCTTGCGAAACAAGGCGCATAAAGATTCGCAATGGGAGGCCGACCAGAGACAAGAAGGATGAAACGTAAACCGAATGAATGAATGGAAATCAAGATTGCAAGCACATTTTCTCAATTGATGTTGATGTTACATCACAATGTGAAGCTTGTTGTTGATAATTCTGATGGGCAAATGAATTAAACAAGTTGCACATTTTATTCAAAAGCTGTTTGCAACTAATTCTTTTGATGTTTCACCGAATGAAATGAGATCATCGAAAGAATCAGAAGGAAAAGTTGTTTTCATTCATTACTGTTATCATGTAAGATACCTTGCGGTATATTTATTTGATATCGACCGACAATTTTATTCCCCTCAATGTTTTCATTTCATCTTTTCATTGCGTAATAAAATTTCAAGTAGCTTCAAATTTATTTTAAGAATTTTTCCATTCAATGATAGCTTAGAAAATATTTTTAGTTTCTTTTAAATGTTTTTTTGAATCTTCGTGAATGGAAATTTGATAAGACCACACAAAATGAGAGGAAAATTGGTGAGTGTAAGTTGAAACCAGAAGTAGTAGTAGAAAAAGTTCTGCAAACGAATCATCATGCTGTGATTTTTTAATGTGTTCAATGTTAAATGGAAAATGTCGCCTGTCGAATCCATCAACGACTCTCGATGAAACCCGATTCGGAAGTTTGGAATAATTTTAACACAAACATTCTGCAATGTTGAAACAGTTGACCACCCAAAACTATTGCAAACTTTTTATTTTGTAACAAAAATTGTACTTGAAGTGACGAGCATCAGCAAATACTGTGGAAAAATCCCTTTCAACTATTCATAAAGAGCATCACAAACTTCTCTTGTTAAACGATGTTAAATTGTTGGAAATAGAAGAAGATAAATGAGAAAAATTTGTGAATATCTGTAACTGACTTGATATATATTTTCGACCCCAAACAAAGTCAAGTGAGAGTGACTGACAGAGTGACC